TAATTACCCATTTACTAGTTACTTGTTAAAAATGTAATATATTGCATTACTTACTTTGTTACTGTCTCAAGAAAGTAACTTAGTTACATTTTTCCAATATTGCATAAATAAATCAAATATGTGCTTATATGTTTTATGAAAGACATTTAAATAAAGATAAACAACCAATGAGTTGCTTATACTGTCCCAAAAGAATCATACCAACAATTGAAATGAGTAACATGTCCATGACGCTGCTACAAACTCTCTGCCTCCGAGGTGGTTATCTGACGTAAGTAATGCCTATGGGTAATGAAGTAACAAAGTATTTTGTTAGTAACTGTAATTTTTTAATTACTTTATTTTCACAGTAATCAATTACACTATAAAAGTACTTAAAATTGTAATTCAATTAAGTATTTGTATTAATGCATCTAATGTCATCTTGAATTATAGATTTTTCAGAAACTACAAAATATTTCTTTGTTTACTCAAAGATAATACTTTGTAATCTTTAGTCTAGTTCAAAAATGTAGTAGAGTAGAAAGTACAGAAAACCCTTTTATCCTATAAAAGAAATGAATACTGGTACTTCATGGGGAAAATATATCTTAACATAAAAAGTTCTGGATGCATTTCAAATATAGAAAATAACAACTAACAGTGATAAGACTAATGTTGTCTTCTGTGTGAGAACACTAAATAATATTTTATATGGAAGCGCTGAGACATTCTATCTTTGCAACTAGAACATCGTGTACAAAGGCAAAAACCATCTCTTATGCAATTTCAGAATACAAGAATTTCAAGACCATCTCCCTTAGCCATTCTCCACAGTTTTTCCTTACACCCTATCCATTAAAAAGTTGAATGTGGTTTAACAAGTGTCATTTGGTCCAAAAGGTTTCGATTTTGTAGATTCTCCAAAATGTCATAAATGTGACAACCCTGTTGGCAGATGTTGCTGAGGGATTACTCTCCAAGTGCTGCTTGAACTATGCTGCATCATTGCGCAGGTGGTGGAGTGTGGGGGAATAAGTGTTCAAAATTATTAAAATTCAATCAAATGCAATGTTAAATGAGAAGAGACAATTATTTCATAATAATGTGCCAAAAAGAACAAAAATCTAGCAAAAAATACTGCCATGAGTTCACGGTCTTCCTCTGACCTCTTGCATAAAGCTGTGATTTTATATTTTATTATCTTTCTATTTTATTTTGACTTTTACATTTACATTTATATAATTATGTCTTATTTGACACATGTCTCTTGCTCTTTTTTGCTACTTATTAAGAATGTATTATTACCATTTATTAGGGGTGTAACGATATCCAAGTCTCCCGATACGATATTGTCATGGTATGAACCTCATGGTACAATATTTATTGCGATATCGTGGGAAAGCTCACGATATGGTGGGGAGGCTCACGATTAGGGATGTAGCAATATACAAATCTCTCAGTACGATAATTCCACGATATACAATACAATATTTATTGCAATATATTTTGGAGGCTAAACAGCTAAAACTGTCAATATGCTACTTTTTCCTCTTAAAATGCCTTGACAAGACTTAATCCAAAGAACTAAGACTTAACAGTGTTTAGAACTGTTATTTCTTCTTGTAGTCTGCACTGAAATGGAGCAAAGGATCATGGTCTATGTAGTTCCGTCCGTCTTTTATTTATTTTTTTGCCACACCATAAAACTTACATTAAGCAAAGAGACTTGTTATTCGATATATTGCGATGGTCCACGATATTATTGTGAGAACTTTGATGATACGATATCATGATATTTCAGTTATTGTTACACCCTTACCATTTATGTTTTTGCTCTTTGTTATTATATTATATTGAGATCTGTGAGCTACTGTGTCCAAATAATTTCCCTTGTGGATCAATAAAGTTTGTCTAAGTCTAAGTTTACTTCTTAATTAGTACATATAGTACATAAAAATAGTAACAGTGGCCACGTAAGAGTGTAATGTGTCATCCGATGGCGTAAAAATCGGTGTAAAAACTATTACTTCACAAAATCTTTGATCCTTATAAGGTAGTCTCATTTGAAAGATGATCACTTTATCCACCTACTACACGATCCAATATGGACCCTGGACATTGCCACTTACGGGAACAATTAACTTAGCATCACAAAGCCATCAAGTTTACAGCAGCGAGGTGCTAATGATGCAGACACATTACAGAAGCCCCTCAAAGGACCCTAAAATAGAGTGTAGAGTATAGAGTAAGTGTGAGTCATGAGTGTTGTGGCGGTGACGCGGGCGGGGTGGGTGGGGGTGTGTGGGTCGGAAGGGGTGCGTAGGTGGGTGGTTGGTGGGGGCACCCTGTCAAACACTCGCTCAGTTGACGGTTGCTACGACACCGAATGGAAGATGACACTCCAACCAAACAAGCACCAAAACGCGCACACACATTTGAAGACAATGTAGATGTTTTGTAAATCAATGGGGCTATGAGAGGAACTGGAACCAATGAAGGGACGGTCTAAAATATCAATAGATTGTGGTACTTCAGTGCAGTACTACAGTAGCCAACAATACTGTGGGCTACTGTACTGATTTATGGCCTTGAATATTTGATGTATATTCTACAAAATCATTTTAAGAGCGCTACAATTATACGTTGCTTGTGGAGAAAGTAAATTTGTTTTGGGGATGGGTGATCATGATTAAAGTTATAATATTAGTATTTTTTGTCTTTAAGAAGTAACTAAAACCATCGGCTGTTTCTCAAAGGAAGCTGTAAATTCCAACATACTATTGGTGTGCCCCTGAGCTGGTCACCTATTTTGCCAATGCATCCAGTGTTAAAAAAACAAACAAAAAACTAATCAAATTGGCAGTCAGCCAGCTCTGTCTAATATTAAAACACATCCACTAATTGTTTTTTTTTTTCCATTCCTAAAATAAAATTTAAATGTGAGATGCTAGAAAATCTGCTTAGTGTGAATGAGATTCTGTGGTCCTCCACCCATAAGTGCCAGACATATTTACCATCCAGATCCATCAAAACCAAAGCCTTCACACTCCATAAAGAAGAGCACAAATGCATTTTCTACCGTGGCAGGGGAGAACACTGGAAGTGACAAATGGCCCTAGTGGTGACAGGCTCTGGGTGAAATTGGGAGTCATTTAGAACCCTGGGTGCTTTTTCTGAGAGCTGTACAGACAGACAGAGGGATGAAAGAGTGGCCAGTGTTCCACCTCACAGGCTTAAGGGCTGCCACGCTCAAGATGGTTATAGTTTAAAGCATTTGCATAGTTCATTTTGTTTTATTAAATGGTCCATATTAAGCTGTTTTCTAATCTGTTATAATGGTGTTTCTTCATCACAAACATACCTGGAGTTGTGTTTTGTTTCATTCACACACATTCTGCATATTTAGGCTGAGTTCTTCTCTCAAACAGAAACACTCTGTTCCACCCTGTGGTAATACTGAAAGTGTTCCAATGTGTTAAACTCCATACACCTTCACTAGAAGCATTTGGATGACTTCAGTCCTGAAATTGCTTATATCTACTGAACAAAAGATAAAAGGAGCTGTTAACTTGAAAACTACCGCTTCATGACTTCACAAGGTGGAACAAAGCATTTTGGGCTTTGGAGATGTAGACAGAATAATAATAAAGATTTACTCAAACATGTGTGAATGAAATAAAACACAGCTCCAGGTCTGTTTTTGAGGAGCTAACAATATTATAACATGACTTAAAGCTGACAAGAGTCAATTACAATCAAATATAGTTAGTTAGGCCCCTGATCTACCCATTATGGACCAACCTTCACCTGTCTACATAACATGCCCACCACAGACACTACAACTGTTGGTATTCTAGTATTCTATTCTAGTGAACATTGTATATACTAGTAAATTATATTTATAACTACCTCAGACATTTTCATTTCACCACAAATTTGTAAAAAACAAAATATGTATTTATTGTTATTTTAAAGACAGTACTGACTCTGCACTTGACCTATCCTTAGTCACTGAGTTAACCTGTCAGAAGCAGAGTCTAGCTAGGGTACTTTACCTGGGATTTTTCACAGTAAAAAACATTTTAAAGCTCCCAAAGCATGCTCTGGTGAAGTTCAAACCTGACTGTGGTCCGCAGGTTTAGCGTGGGAGCGCTGACACAGAGCCCCACAAACAGCTCCCAAAGCCTCTCTTCGTCCAAAATAGGGATAAGGTCCATGATGGAGGTGACGAGAGACAAAGTAGGCCAAGGACTTCCACAGAAAATAGATTCCAGCTCACTGAGGCCCTGATCACCCTGGGAAGAAACAGGCAAAAATGTGGGTTAACTGTCTTCTTTGAAATAAATAATACTACAGAGTGAAGGCTATAGGATAAAAAGGTAACACACTGGAATGTACAGGCTTTTAAATTTCATTCACATACAACCAAATCTGCTGTATGAATGAATCTACTCTGGCTCAGGACCCATCAAAGTAGACTAAACAGCGCTAGAACAGTCCTCAGAGGTTCATTTATAACATTATTATCTGTGTTATTCATGTTGATTATCATTCAATGTGCAGGCTTAATCAAACACTAATGTTGTCCATTTATCATAGATTCCAGCAGAGAGGGCACATAAAGGTTCTCTTTGTCCCATTTTAAGGTGGTCTGTACCAATAATAAATGATTTAGCCGATATGATAAGGTATAGGCAAAATGTTATAATTGGTAATGGATTTGTAATTATGCCTAAATTGCTTTTACCATTTCAAATGCAAATACAGACTTGCAGCTGCTGTAACCAATAGTAAAAAGGAAGCAGTATTAGATTTAACGTGATCTTTTCAATCCACTGATATAAATGCAACTTCACTTCCAAAGTTCCAGACTGTAGTGTTCTACCTACCTACGCATGACCCTATCCACAGACCACGTGTTACACAGAGCTGCACTCTTCAAACATACGCACTGAGCAGCCGCTGCCTATTGGTCTGCAGCGCCCTCGTGAGGACATTTAATGCCATCAGAACATTGGAAATTTCGACAGATCTTTATTTACAAATTAAAAGAACAAGCAATGGTGGTGAGCTCAATTTCAGGACAGTACAACTGAAATGAATAATCTCCCAAATGGATATGTTACTAAAAATAAAAACAAAAAACATGTCAAAGGAGCAGGTTCTTTTCTCACTGCTCTTTAACCTGCTTGCAACCACCAATGAAATATTCCATAAAATTCAAAGACTTACATCATAAATAACGGTCAGAGTTTTTTGTCCAAACAACTTGTCATACGTCAAATGGAAGTTTGGGGAGAGGATGACATCGAAACTGGCAAAACCTGAAGGATTTAAACACCAAGGGTGAAAATTTCCTTACAAAAAAAGTTTTAAATGTTTTAAATAAACAAATGAGTACAAAGGTTGGGGGGTTCACAACAAACCAATGGCACTTAATGCAGTAAAGTATCAAAATGAAGTGGCTCCACCAAGCACGTTTCAATGCATTCCATTGAGTGTGCAGGGCTCAAAATGATACAGTAAGAACAGGCATACCCAGTGCCAAAGAACAAGCAGAAAACACACTGTGTACATTTGCACTCTTTTCCAAACTTCTGAATAGATTATTCACACATTACAAATCTTCAAGTATAATTGAAGATAAAAATCCATGTTCTAGTGGAAATCCAGAGACAGCAGAGGTGTATGTCCAGTCCTTTCTGTCCAACAGCAGATCTGAAGAGGATTGCTTCAACTATGGGCTCCTTTAATATTTTTAGCAACTGGGACCTAGTGTGGGCTTTTCTAGCTGTTAAGTTTCCTTGGCTTGAAGATTGTATGTTGATCCATGTAATCCGTAAGCAGAGACCTAAAAGTACAGAAAAAGTAATTGTGATGTCACAAGTAACCTAAACACTGAAGAAGGTGGTGTGTCAGGAATTACATGGAGCAGACAGATCATGGTGACAGCATTTGAGATCAGGCTATTTCCGTTTTCCACCAGCAGTATCATCCTCTTTTAAAACAAACTTTCTTTTCAGAGCTTCAGAAATGAGGGTGGCTGAATCCTCTTCTCTCAGTGATGTACATCCCCTGTTGTACCTACAAAACGAAGTGTGACAAATCAACCGGCTTATTACTAGAATGAAGTTCTAACGGACATTTTACAACAAAGCAAAGGGACCATCACAATGACATTATATGTATTGAGCAACATTTTCAAAGCTTCACTACTACGTTTTACTCCATACCCACAGCTCAATATGTTCAGATTCAAATAAGGAATATTTTCTGTTACACAGTAGTAAATACTGGAAAGAGGATAGGCTATGGACAGCTGCAGACTTACAGAGACTGTCCCTGCATGTTAAATTATATAGGGATTGTTTTACCTGTCTTTGCTCATCTTCATGCGGTTCATATCCTTTAGGATGTCCATAACATCTGCAAAGCTGGTGGACTTGGACAGAGACACTGTGTCCTCCTCTGCCTCCCTAAAGTCCATGCTGGGTCTGTCCAGGTCAAAAGTGGCAGAAGCTGTCATGGAAACAGGTGGCAGAGGATCGGGCACAAGTTCCGACACCATGGAGACCACATCCTTGTCATCTTCCTCCTCTTCCTCCTCCTCTTCAGTAACATCGCTGATGACAAAAGAGGCAGCAGCTGTGGCGGCAGGCTGGTAGGAAGTGGTCTCAAATGGAGCCAAGGAGAAACTCATACTGGTGTCATCGGGAGACAGCAAGTCAGGCGTCAGGGGATTAGACCCTGAAATGGAACAAAACACATACACCGGTGAAATGTTAATTTAAGTTTTAGCTAAAGTTCACAAATGCTTCAGACCACCTAATCATGACAGTGGAAACAGGCAAATTATTAGTACTTCAACTAATTTCCAGTGATTTATGCTGCTGGGACAGCACTTATTTGATTAAAAAAAATAACATGAGGCAAATTCTCCTCGTAGAAATATAATCTGTATTAAACACTAAAACATAGTGTAGTTTAAATTATATGAACAGACTGTATAAATGAAACTAGACATAAAATCTCCGAGGTGAATCCAGAACACGTAGGAAAGACAGCATCAACTGTAGAGGAGCTCTTCACTTATGCCAACAACCAAAGTTCTTTAGCAAAGGCCAGAACTTTACCCTGACATACACTCATTCAGTTTGTTCTGTTGTACCTGTGTCATTTGCCACAATCTTGGCAATCTGAGCCCGCAGTTTGCTGAGCTCATCCTGCAGGGCTGTGGTGCGGTTCAGAGCTGTGACACCAGGCTTTTTAAGACCCTCCATTCTTTTCAAGCCCTCGCGCCTGAAGTTGGGCACGGATGAATTTCTGTGAAGCACTAGTAGAGGAGTCGGCCGCCACTCGTGTTTCAGTGGACGGCTATCACTCCTGAAAAAATCAAATAAAATTCACACACAAAAAAAAAATTGATTCAGCATTGAAGTAATTTTTACTCTGAAAACTGCATTTCATCACTGTGATCGATCATGCAAATAGAGTTATTCACTTTGTATTTTGAAAAAACAGGAGATACATGGGGAGCATATACTGTACAATCACCTGACTCTTGCATACGTCTCCTCTTCATCTGCAACGATCCAAGCTATATCCGCTAAAGTAGGAACCATGGGCCCATCCAAAGGACGAAGAGGGGGAAGGCCAGGTAGTTCCTGTTGGACAATATTTTATGTTATAAGCATGTAATGAGTCTTGAACAGTGGACACAGCTAAATTATAACAATACCTGAAAACATGCCCTCTGAGGAGGTTTAAGAGGAAGAGTAGAGCCTATTCTTCTCACAACACTACGTGTGGACCCATGGGGCTTATTTTGCCAGATGGGAATGACATCCTATAAAGTACAAATAAACAGTATATTCATTAGGTATGTCATAACTAAATCAAACACATTACCGTCAGGCTGTCATACTTACTGCGTCTGTTTCCATGTTGGTAGTTCAGTAGGCTATTACTCCAGGGACAGTGCACACCTAAGGTTGGTGTAACTGAGGGCTGTGTAACTGCGGCCTCAGCACCTCAGTAAGCAAATGTCATCGCTGGTTGATTGCCAAGTCCTAGGATGCAATTTAGTAATTAATTAACTAGAGCTGTCACTGACGTGCATAAAGGCTCTAACTTGTCCTCTTACATATAAGATGCTAAATTGCCATTACAGTGTGCAGATCTAGTTGTTGAAACAATTAATGAGATATCATTACGAAATAACAATATTTTCAATACATATATAATGCCTCATTGCATAACTATAAATATCAGAAAAACCTAGGTCAAATAAGAATCCCGGTGAATTTGAAGAGCAGCCAATGTGCATTAAGCTATCTTGTGTTAGCGTTAGCATCACGGTTCTGCATGACCTCAGCTACACCCTGCAAACGTGATCAAAGTGTATTTCTGTGTGACTCTATGAATGCAAAAAACGATCTAGAGACGCACCTCAATGTTGACACTGGCCGCATGTAATAAAATAAGAGAGGGATTTATTTGTAGTAGTTTCTCCTATTCGTCTTTCAGAGTTGTGTTGTCGTTGTTTAGGCCGGAAGCCTGTATGTCCTGCTCCTTTGATTTGATTGGTTGAGCGCATGAACGTCCTCTCTCCACCGGCTAAACTAATGCAATATAATAACAAAAGAAAGAAATGCAGTGTGGTAATAACAAATAGAAGTCATTACTATTCTCTCATAAAAGCGCTAGAGGGAGTTATGTTTTGTTTATTCTCCGAATTGTCAATATTATTTTATATTCCAGCCGTCTGCCGGTCTTGAATTCTCTTGACATATAAACACTCTTTGAGCGCGGTACCTGGGCGGGGTCTGGTGTGTGATGTGGATGTGATCAGGATGTTCCGCGCTCCGGAGGTAGCGCTATCTGCAGTACAACCATAACACTGCATTATAGTCTGCTCAAGGGACTGCTGCACCTGGGATGTTGACTGAAGATTTCATCTGCACAGGTTTGAACAAACCATACGGTTCTGCATGTAATCCTCTAATATTAGCCTTGTATTATGCTATCTCGTATCTCTATTATTATATTAGGATGCCTAGTTCTTCTGCTAAGGTGTGCAGTACTGAATAGGATACTTGAATCATTCATTACATGGAAGAATATACGCTATCATTGCATCAGTGAAAGCTATTCAAACCGTAGGCCTAGTGCTTATGGTATTTGGTTAATTGCCTCCGGCTAGTCGAAAATGATACTGAGATAAAGCTAATCTTTCACCCCACAATTTAATTATATGTGTAACGAACTGTCACTGTGTCTGTGCAGTATACTTTAGGCAACCCTAACTAAGCCCAGTAGAAAACTGTGTAGTGTAACAATTCAGCTACTAAATAGAAATGATACTGATGGTTCAGCAGTGGGCCTAATAGTATTGACCATTGGAAACCTGATCCTTTTCACTATAGGAGCTTTTAAGTACTGCTCACTTCCTTGTGTGATCATGTGGCTGAGGGGAGTTATGCTCTCCCCTGTTCAGCCTACTACTCAAATCAGGCCAGACTCTGCTTCTGTTTGTGTAGGTGCTGTAACTGGGGCAAATGACAGACATGGGACATAAAAGGAAGAAGAAGGATACCAGCTGGTGCCCTGATCTTCTGCACTGCTTTGTGGCATCAAGAGGAGAATCAAAACATGCCTCCATCTGAAATGAGATGCAAACTTTAGCCATGGATCACAAACCTCAGAACAAAAGCAGGACCAGCTACTTTGGCAATGTCAAGAACAGGTCACACATTTCTTTACAGATTAGAGGAAAAACCTGCACGATCTAGTTCAGATTTAGACATAAAACACTATAAACTCAGATGGCTTATAAAAAGAGTAAATGTTTTACATTTGCTTAGAAACCACTGACATCGTTATTTCTTTATGGCCTCTTGATTGTACAGTATAAAATAGTGATGCGTTTCTGAATCTGGTTCTGTTCACTATCTTGAATGAATTTCTTGGTATAGTCTATAATCAAATTTTTAGGCTGATAGATGTTTTACCTTGTGTTACCATTTTTTTATGTTTAGGTTGGGGCCTAAGCTGCCCACAGGTGTCTCTCAGCCTCCACAGTTCACAACGAGAACATGGGAGGTCCAGCCTCTGGCCCCAGCTCTGCAGCAGCCCACAGTGAGCAGCCAGAGGAGGCAGCAGCTCATGTCAGCCAGGCCGCTGAACCACACACCCCACATCCGAAATCCTAAACTCCGCCAGTATTACTTGCAAGGTAGAACCTGAAACATGCAGCTAAGTCATTTCAGTAAAGATTTTAAGCATTCAATCACTACATAGATATCCCCTCTGGAGTCTTTTGTAAGGGTTATTTTTTTAAACTGTGGTTAAGGAGAGACACCACAGGCCAAGAACATATTTTTGGTCAGTTTGGTCTTTGGTCTTGGCATACAAGCTTTTTGGAATTGTCCACTTTACACTGAAAGATGTTTTAATATTTAATTTAATCAACTTCCCCCCATAGATTTTAATGGGAAATTATAACTTTAAAGTCTGTTTTCTCTAAATGCATTTTCCCCCATAGACATAATGATTATCACTTAAAGTAGCACAACAAAACACAAAGAATTCCAGTCTTGTACTTAACAAGATTTTAAGGAAACTGAATTTTTTTTTTATTTGATTACAAGTTTGATTTATTCAGGTTCTAATTAGTTGAAAATTGAATTTTTAGGCAAGTTTTCAGTCAGATTTAGTTATATATTTTTCTTTATATGATTAAAGAAACTACAGAAAAAGTTTATAATTGATAGCTCTAAATTTAAAACTTGTTCCTATTTACCTGCACAAAAATAAAATAAGAGAACCATTACATAGTATTTTTCTTTAGGTATAGCTCTGTTGAGGAAGATATACAAGGACCAAGCTTCTGCAGTAAGACAGGTTTAGATTGTTAGCACTAAAATCATTGTAATGTATTTATTCAACACTGCTCTGATTAGGCATCGCTTAAACCTGTAATATATTAATGTTGTTTTTGTTTGTTGTTTGTTTTTTAGGACCGCCATGGGAAGTAAACCGTACAGATGTCTCACATTCAAAGGTTAGAAGGATTTTTATATGGGTGAAAGAATAACTCTTCTGTAAGATATTCACTCCACCATCTCAACTATGTTTATTGCTATAAATATAGTTGTTAAGTCCAGTATTGCCAAAATCAATGTGTAACAATAGGTGGCAGCAACTGATCAACATGACAGCTGCCTGGGAGGAGGGGGGGGGGGTGTAATCTATGACCAACTATGACGATAAAAGGTTCAATGTTCAGAGGGTTTCTTGTGAGTTGTCTGTCAAATGGTGGCACTATGGTGAAGCCTGTGGGGAGTCTTTTTTACAGCCTTTTCCACAAAAATAGTCGAAAAAATATATCTGAACTTTTCGCCGAGGTTTGTGCCTATTTTGACCACCATATTTGTGTCAGGGAATGTATTGGAAATTCTAGACAAGCAGGCCACATTCATTTGCATGACAGTCTGTATTTTGTTACACAGGGTCACCCCGGGGACACCGTCTTTAGTGTTTCATCACAGTTTCACAGCTCATCCCAGACGTCTTCATCAGACACGCTCATCCCTCGAGAAGTAAGATTTTTGTTTTGTACAGCACAATAGAGCTGTAATGTATCACAACTGCTTTCAAGGAACTGCATAGTTATGCATGGATGCAATATTTCATTAATAAGTTTACCTCTGAAAGGATAAAGCTGATTGATAATTCCTTCACAGAAAAGATGTGAAGGTTGGCCTCCACTAAAATACATTAAAATGCTGTTCAGTAGGGCTGTGCAATCAGTTGAATTCTCTTTTCTCTAATCGTCAATGATCAGCTTGGGGCTTTTTAATCGAGAGGTCCACAGCCAGTCCTCCTTTGTGTTAAATGGCACTGAAATGGCACTAAAATTCTGTATTGTTTCAGAATTGTTGTTTCCAAATTATTATTGAAATCAGTTTTATTATTAAAGTAAAATTTTATCCAGAATTATTATTGGTCAGTATGAATTTAAGTTGTTTTTTCAGTGATTTGAATAGACTGTATTTAGTTGTTTTTTTTATTATTATTGTTTATATTTAGTTTTCATGTAAGCTTTTCACTTTTTTAAGCTTTTTCTTTTAGCTGAAGGTTTCATTTTCCATTTCCTGTCACAATGTACTGCCCATTGCCTTTATGCATTTATATTAACATCTTTTTAGTAAACTAAGAAAAAGCTCTTTCCATTTCTATGTTTTAATAGTTTGCATTCACATTCTAGGAGGAGAGGCCTACATAACTCTATAGGAAATGCTCAAACAATAGAAAGCAAATTGTGAACTTTAATCTGACAATCATGTCTTTGGGCTTGAATAATGGTGGCACTTTTTGAGGATATGGTGCTTATGCTTATTTATCCAGACATTGAAGTTAGTGCCAGTTTTATTTCATGTGCATAGACTCAATAATTACAGAGATATAACCATAAACCAGGTTAACAAATCTTTAGTCTGGCATTTTAACATCAAATTCAGCAAATAGATTTCTGACCTGTCCTCCAGTTTAACGATTAGTGTGTTGTGATGTCACATATGAACCCCACTTACCAGAACTATGTGCATCTTAAATTTAGCTAGAAGCAGGAAGTGTGTTTGTCAAGTTTTAGTCAATCAGGTGATCATTACATCATAAAACTTATCCTCATGATACAAAAGGACATTATCTTTTGTTTTGCTAACTCACTAAAATGCCACACACTGGTATATTGTTTTCCATAAATAAGGGCCCTGTTGCCAAATCCACGTCATGCACACCTCATGCACAGGGAGAGGGATGTCAGAGGAGATTTAAGTCCAAACAGATTCATGCAGGAGATGTGGGGCCGTGGAAAGAGGAAGTGCTCCCTCCAGTAACTCAGCCTTGTCATAATCTCTGTCACAGTCTGTGTTAATCATGGCGTCTTTTCTCAAGCAGCTGCTGGTCGTGCCTAAAGAGAAGACCTTATCTACAACTCAAGAGGAGCCACCGTTACAAGCTACAACAAAGTCCAACCTGCATTCTAAAGCCAAGTCAGAAATAGGAGACGTTTCGACTGCTCATTCCCCATCACCAGAAGCTGAATATGACAAACTACTGGTAAGCACAAGTGTTATTCCACTATCCTGGCATGAGACTATAGACAGGCACTGTGTGGAAGGCTGTCAACATATTTTCTATTTATAGTCAAGTACTCCTGGATCACAGAGCTAAACAGAATTTCTAAATCTTGTTGTTAGTTTGATAGGATTTCTCACGTCTGTGCAACCAGCTAGGGCTGAGCGATTAGTGAAAAAAATCAAATTATCGATTATCAAGCATTTTAATTGGGATTACATTTTTGAGTTATGTTTTAAAAATAGGATTCTGTTCAGATATCTAATAAAGTCCTGAAGAATTGGCAAAAATAGTTAAATATGCACTAAATACAAGAACATGTACATCTCAGCACATGTTTGTACAGATCTAAACTACAACGTGAGCAGTTTTTATGCAGAATAAGACAGTCTATTTTGCTGTTTGTGGAGGAAATTAAGGTACTTCAAAAGTAGCAGCTTTTGTGATTTACTAATTTTACCACCCATTTAAATGGTGTTTTGGATTCATTTCACTGCAATTAATACGACAAGCAGCAATTTAATTGTTGTGAGTTTGTGTATGTAGATGTTTTCTCCTTTTTCCACTTCTGGCATGTGGTAGCAACAAGTTTCTCTATCATTTGTGTGAACATTATATGTTCAGTACCTGCTTTTGCAGTTTTTATCTTGATACTGTCCTCATGCCATGAACCAGTGAGAATGATAATCAGGGAAAGGTGAGGCAGAACTTGATTGTAAACAAAGCCAGGGCAGATTTAAACTCCTCCCTTTAGGGGCATGACTTGTGAGTATAAATGCTAGTGTCTCGGACCAGCACCAGTACAATTGGAAATCACTTCTGGATGGGAACCGAAACGTCTTGATTTCAAAACCAACTGTCCGGATAACTAGCTTTGAAACTTGTGTCCAGTCCTGGTTGAATGAAGGATTACACCATCTTGTATGTATTGTTATGTCAAGCCTTTCATTATTTACTGCAAACTACATCATATTTTTACTTTTAACTTAGACTCCAGAACTGTTTGGGTCTCAAATTATATTTTTATGTGTTATACAAATGATCTCACATACACGTTACCTCTCTGATAGGATGTGGAGGCGGTGCCAATGCCTGATGGACAGCTCTGTTTACTGGCCCTCCCTCCTGAGTGCTGTGAGGGCGAGGGAGCAGACGCTACACCATATCTGAAGCTATTTTGCCGCTATATCACTGACTGCAAGGTACAAAACAACATCTATAGTCTAGTAGTCAGACTGGATTTTCACTCTCTCTGTCTCCTTCAGGGGGTGGTATCTGGCATTCTTCTGGTGACTTCCAATAAGCTTTTCTTTGACCCGTGTAAGACCCATCCCCTGGTCAAGGAAAATGGTTGTGAAGAGTACGTCCTGTCCTGCTCAGTGGACAGTCTGGCTTCGGTCTCATTCTATTCAGATATCACCCACATTCATTTCAACACTTCTCAGCAGAGGTTAGTAGAGATTCACACAAGCAAGCACACACATGATTCAACCAGGAGAGTCTAGCAGACACCTACAAATGAACAGTGTGCAGTGAAACGCTTATTAAATGGATAAATCTAGACTAAGGCAGTTAGACATAAGCTGGGGTGGCTGCAGAGGTTGATGGTTCTGCTGCTGCAGTGGAGATGGAGTTGATGAGGGTTTTGTTTCCTAGTTTTAAAGTATGAGAGAGAAAGTGCATTTGTGTGAAAACAACATTTTGAGAGGTGATTGGCTGAAAGGCAAAGGAGAAGGCTGTGATTGGCTAACAGTGAAAGACAGGTGACAGGAGGTGAAAAAAAGTTTGGAAATTTAGTTATTCTGTTTGAATAATTAAAAAAAAAACTTATAAAACTCAACTTTTCTAAAACATGAAAGAATAAGAATTGTATCTGTCTTTTTTAGGAGAAAAGGAAAGACACTTTTCCAAAAGTTAAAACCATTTAAAAGCCAAACAAACCATCATCCCGGTCACACAGATGATGCAACCTCGGTGGATTCTGCTTTAAGAGATGCAGATGTGTGTGATGGTGGCGAGGAGGAGGAATCTGCCAGCAGAGACATGGCAGAGGTGGAGAGGGAGCTGGACAGCGATCTGCTCAATGGTCTGTACGACCCAACAGCAGCAGCTGTCTGCAGCAGTGCTGCTACATTCTGTTGTGGTGGACCAGAGGACACCAGTGGACTGAAGATGGAGGAAGAGACGTCAGCTGTGAAACAGCACAGTACAGGTAAATCTCATACTCAGGGGGAAAGTATTATCTGGATTTCTAGAATGATGGGTCTATTTGCACTTTCGTTGATAGAGCAGTGGAATAAACCTGTCTTTTAAATACTTTTTGGTGCAGGCTGGAAATAAAATCTTGAGATACTTTGACACGTGTTATGAAATTAGAGACAATACTTTTATAAAAGTATAAGCTGTGCCTCTAAACCAGTGATTCCATAACAGTCCTCTTTAATCCCAGTATGTGGACGACCATCACAGAACAGTCCTGGGAGCCTTATGTTTGTGCGACTGCGTGCTCAGCTGTCTGCGGGGAGGAGGAGGGGTCCTGGTGTGCAGCTCGGGTCGTCCAAAACACTACCAAGAAGAGACACATGGCTTGCACTGTCACAGGAGAGGTAAGAGTCTTCATAGTGAATGCTGTAGGAAGGCACTATCAGGCGTTTGATTATTATAGTTATAGTTTTTTTCTAATAGTCTCATTTGGCTCATTGTAGTTTCACATTAACACACATACTTTATGCTTACACACTGGCCCTTATCCAAACACTAGCACCGCTCTGTCTACCACTGAAGTACAAAGGTAACAGCAAAAGCATTTAATCTTTGACATTCTGACTGCTTCAATAGCAAATCCTGAAAGTGACTCATTGATCAAATGTTCTTTTGAGTCAAACAAAATTCACTTTAAAAAAGTCGCTTTGCAAGGGAAAACATTTCAACTGATTTCTTAACCAAATGGCTGAAGGAGCCTATGTATGTTCTTCAAGTAACATAGCTTTTATCCCGACAGCTCGGATGAGTTGTACGCCTACCTTACACAGTGTTGCCCGGACCTGTGTTTACTAGAAGGGGCGCAAGAGGAGGATGAAGATGAATTTGTTCTAATTGAGGACAAAGAGCAAGTGAGTGAGGAGGAGGAGGAGGAGAAGGAGGGAAACTTCCAGAGACACCGCTGCTCAGGAGAAGACTGGGAGGTTAGAGGAATACACAGGAGTACACAAGCTGTAAACAAGTTCAGGTTATGCAGTTTTTGAATCACAAGACCATTTTTTTAATTGTTGCACTGGTCTTGTGCTTTAGATGGTAGTAATGGACGAACACAGGGAAAGGTCAATTCTTGCAATTGACAAGGAACCAGAAGGACTACAGAGTATTGTGGAGCGCAGCCATATTTTAGAAGCTTCACATGTGAAAGAGGTGAGTGACATATTTGCTCATGTAAACTACAAAAATGTGATAGTGACAACCTACATTTGAATTCATACTTGCTTTTAGGAATGAATGACTCACATTGACTGAATGATTCATATCCACTAAACTATAATTACAAATGTGTTGAATTGACGCAAGTATAAATACCAATAAGGTGATGTTAAAAAGAAATAAAAAAAAATATATAAAACACTGCATATAAAACATGAAGGAATAATTAGTGAACACCATTATTTTAGTGGGAAATTTTTTTTTTTAAAGTCATTAATAAGGTTGACCTATGTTTGGCTCACATTAAAAATAAACTAAACAATTTATAACTGAAAAAAATCATAGCTACAACTAATGATTGTTTGCTCTTACATTCCAAAAAAATGGGAACTATTAACATGGGACTGAAACACTGGTTCTGAATTCTGAATTCATGATAACTTATTGTATATTTAAACACATGTTTGTCTGTGTCAAGAAGTTTGAGGGCTACAACTTTGAACTTTTGGTGTGAAAACTATGGTTAGGATGAGGACTTCAGGTGCTTGTCTTGTCCTGTCTAGTTTGTCTTGTACTGTTTTGTCCTGTCTATTTCTGTTGGTCCTGATTACCTGTCCCGTTTTTTGGTCAGTATTGTTTAATCTTTGGTTGGAATTTTTGTTAAATATTATTATTGTTTTTATTTGTTTATTTATTATTTGTTGTTTATTTGTATTTGTTTTATTTGTTTATTTGTTGATGTTTGTTATTATTTCATTTGTTGTGTTGATGTCTGTCTGGTTGACTAAAATTATTATATCACAGAGATTATGAATAAAAAAAGAGGTAACAAAAAAAAAAAGAACTAAAGGAATAGTTAGTCACATATTTGAAGGAAAAAGTTCCAAGTTTATTTCGTAGACTCTATTTGAGGTGTGTCGCTTTACATATCCACTCGAGTGTGTCTTCAATGAATGAGTTAATGAATAAAAATAAAAAAAATAGGAAATTTGTTTATATTATGTTAGTACTTATTATTAGGATAATTTTTGCATATCATATTTGTAATTGCCATATTTATATATACTGAGTAGTACATTTAAACCTTGGTTTTGTATACAGTACATTTAACAATAGCCTTATCCGTTGCACTGCAGCCAACCCCAGCTTCGTCTGCTGCTGGTTAGCCTCCACTTCCTTCCGTTTGGACTTTTATTGCTTTTCTCTGCTTTGATCTCTCTCAGCTTTGTAAGGAGCTGCCTCCCAGGACTGTGGGCCATACCTGGAAACTAACATACAGCACTTCACGCCACGGATCTAGCCTCAAGTCTCTGTACCGAAAAGTCAGCACTTCGGATTCCCCAGCTCTCATAATTATAAAGGATGCACTCGATGAGGTACATGTAGTGTTAATGTGATTCGTGATCAGGTTTAAACAGCATCAGTTGAAGATCCTATATTATCCAAAACTGACTCATGTGAGCTTTATGCCGTGTTAGAATATTCTCAAAAAATGTACCTGGAGTTTCATTCACACATTTGAGTAACCCTTTATTACTAGTCTGTCTACATCTCCAAAACACAAAATGACGCAGTAGTTTTCAAGTTAACAGCTACCTTTTACCTTTTGTTCAGTAAAGATTGGCACTTTCAGGGCTGAAATTATCCAACAACAAAACACAGCTCCAGGCATGTTTGTGACGAGGAAACATTATAGCATAGATCAATGTAATATAGGCCCTTTAATCATGTTTGAATGGCTCATAGGTGTTTGGTGCCTTTCTCTCCCATCCCCTGAGACCCAGTGAAGCCTTCTATGGCACAGGAGAAACTTTCCTCTTCATGTTGCATCCACGGTTTAAGGTACAAGTGTCATTTCAACTCCAAACTGCTCATCAAGATTCCAACATTCAAAGTATTTTCATTTTAAAAACCTTTAAAGAAACACTGAATTCTAAAATGTGTTTATCTGCAGTGTTTCAGATGGACTGGGGAAAACTCCTTCTTCATAAAAGGTGACTTGGATTCCTTCGCTATTGGAGGAGGAAGGTAATATTAAAAATTGTTCTTTATGTTTTTATTTTTTTTAATAGGTCTAATTGTCTCACCCCCTCTGCCATTCCCTGCTTGTCAAATCCAATGAGAAATTGTGGGAGTACTGAGCTACATATTTGAAGTGTAACTGTTTTTGTGTTCATGCTTTCACAGCGGTCACTTTGGGCTGTGGGTGGATGAGAATCTGTACTTGGGCCGCAGCAGCCCCTGCTACACTTTCAATAACTGCTGCCTCTCAGAAACAGATGACTTTCGAATCATGGAGCTCGAGGTGTGGACTTTTGGATGAGCTCTGCTTCAATCAGCCGCCTCTAGCAACTTGTAGTTTATCACTAAGTGAAAGTGCTCATTCATTCAATGTATAGTCCATCTCTTTATAATGGACATGAATGCTGTGAATTTATCTTAATCACAAAAGTACAGACTGATCCAGAACAGCATGCTGCTCCTGGAGAGAAGACTCATTCCTGTGGGTTAGGCATAGATGCTGTGGTTAGACTGAGACCACTGGAGCAATCTGAAGAGCCAAAGTTCTCAAAGCACTCCTTAGAAACAGTTATGTTAATGTGAATCTCAAGTAATTTTAATGGTTTACAATATGAGCACACTTATGGCCGTTCTTAAGATGTGTGTGCTGTCCTAACTGTACACTAAATATAATGTGTCTTATTCAAAAAGCTACTGAACATACAGAGATGCCTTGCTCACCCATCATCTCTAGTATATACAGGGCTTTCCACTAACAGAATACATTCTTAAAGATCAGGACTGCTTTCCTGAAACCTCTTAAACAACTGGCAGGCTCATACAGACACTTTCAATATCAGGCATTGCTGCCTTGAGAAAACATTATAGCAGCTACATCTACATGTAGAATTAAATCTGTAAGTCATCTGGATGTGTACATTGTAAAGTATTGTAGAACAGAAAAAGTTAAATTAAAATCATTGTCACGTACCACTTGAATTGAATTAATCATATAATATGAAGGAAAAAATTCACAAGACATTTATGTTATGAAATATTTTGACTGTTTATATAGTTACCATCATTTACTTGTTTTTTAATACAAAGTACAAAAATGTAATGATTTCATGTGCAACAGTGTAGTCTGTACGGTGTTTACATCCCCGGAGATAAAGATGGGTGTTCCCTAAAGCTGCCTCAGTAATAACATCAGGCCTTGCCCAGTCTAGAGGGAGCTTTGAGGCAAATCCTTCACAAATACTGAACAACAACTAGAGACAACTAGCCTCATCTCTGTGGGAGCCTAAAGCCACTGAACTCCACTGGTGAAGAGTGCCTGTGCTTGTACAAACATGTTATATAGTTCCCTTTTAGGTCACTGCAACATTTAAACAAATAAATAAATAGTATCAACAATGTTAAAGATTTGGTAAATCCAACAGTTGAGTCTCAGTAACATATTATTCTGTCAGGTACGGCTTTGCCTTCTCCAAGCCCTCCTTCAGAAAGCCAAGATAAGTTGATGTGGAGGGGTCCTCGAAGCTCCCAGTGAAGCTGAAAGTGGCTCCCTCCTCCTCTGGTTTCATGGCAGTCTGATCCAAGAAGTAGTTAGCATTAATATGGTGAACCTACAGGTACAAATACTATGAGTATCCCAATATCAAAATTAAGTAAAAGCTAGTTTTTATTAAAAGTATATATATTTACAATGGTCCCATTAGGCAGTGCCACCATCATCTCCACAGGAAAGTTATAGTTCTCCAAGTGTAGGCGGGCCTTTTCACTCAGCACAGGGTTCTTTTCATCAGCCTATTCAAGTAGGGGCTTTATATTAAAACATACATTCATTTTATGCATCCATTGTATGATAAGTATGGCCACAAACCTGCATGTCCTCTAGTTCTTTGACTAGTGACCAGCTGCTAATGAAGCTCTGGTTGAGGAGGGCCAGAACGGGCGAACTTTCCAGGACTGTCTCCCGGAGAGTTCGCCCTGAACCTGAACACAGAACAACATTCATTCACCAGTCAGTCATTACGCTTGTGAACAACTACATTTAGCAAAAAAAACACAAAAAAAACACTCTAAATATGTATACTGTTCTGTAGTTAGAAAGACAATGCACAGTGAATCTCACCTCAGCATGACTGGTCATCTAGTGCCCCCCACAGTAAAATGGAATGCACAAGTTTGTTCTCTGCTTCTGCTCTTTCAAAAGCTTTTGAGAAAGGCAGGTAATCCACCTGCGGTAGAGCAAGAGATAGAAGGTTCATACTGTGACTGAAGTCAAACTTCATAAGTACAAATGTTTAGAGATGCAAACCTTCTTGAATGGATAATAAGTGACCTCCATGCGGTGAAGAGCTTCTTGATGACTGATCTCTGAGGTCCAGATGATGTCCTCAAAGACAAACTGGATTGGATCCAGGTTGCTCCCTTTACTGTCAATAACATTACCTTCCTCATCAAAAATGACAGAGGGAGTGGACGGGCCAGTGGACAGCAACTCCATCTGCACAAGGGCAATTTAAAATAAAAAAATAATAATCTGAGCCACAACTGAGAATGAAGTAATGTGTTATAAGGCAGATAACTGAACCTGTGGGAGGTATCCTATGTCCACTTCCATGTTGCTACTTTCACTGGCGCCATACAGCCACTCCATGTCCACATTTAGAGACCTGAGTCCAAAGAAAGTAAGATACAAAACATGTAACATAACACAATAGTGATATAGTGAATCATTTGACGTAGCCACTTGTACCTGTTATTAGGGACATAAAGGTGGAAGTGGCGAACATGAGAGCCATCTTTGGAGAGCACAATGTTACCAGTGAACTGCCCTGGAGTGAACCAGAAGGGAAAGTTTGGTACTTCATTCAGCTGGAACTCTGCATGAATCCTGGACACACAATCAAGCAAAAATTACTTCAAAATGACCTCAACACTGTACAACTATATTGTTATACCATTATAATTGGGCTTACCTAAAGGAAATATCAAAATAGAAGTCATTGCTCGCACGAATGCAAGCCACAGTGCCCTGAGGAGCAAACCGAGATTTGATAAAAGGCCGAGGGTGAAACATACTCAACAGGGAGTGAATGAGAACCTGAAACATATATTTATTTCAATCACAAACAGGCACTTTCCACATTTTTATTTTTGAGCAATTAGCTTACCTCTTTGCCCTTTGGAGTGGGAGGGTGGTAGCGATTGTTTGGCAGGTAACCAGTAAAAATGTTTAGTTCACTTGCAATCACCCACCATGTGGCTCCCACATCCACTTTGTTCTTTGGAGGCAAGAAGACTCTGAACTGGCTGGCCGAGAGGGTGGAGGAGGGCACTGCTGGAGATGTCCAAGAGCGCAGACCACTCAGAGAGCTGTGAGAAACCTGGACCAGCAAAACATGAATGATCATTGATCTTCTGTGAAATAATGCATCTATACATTCTGTTCCACAATTAGAATACATGAGCAAAAGTTTATTTTTTACTTGAAGAGTTGAAAATGTAAGTGAGTGAGGTTCATCAATAATTACATTCTGAATGAGTTAAGGAGCATTTGTAAAGTAAAACCTACCCCAAGGAAACCATCCTTGCTCTTTGTCATAGAGTCCAGCTGGAGAGGCTGCATTTTTGCCACCAATGTCAAAGTCTCTCCATTGGGGTCGTGTATGATTTCTTCGTCCACTTCCATGGGGGGTGTAATTCCTACAGAAAAGGTGCATCATTAGTCAGAAGACTGACATCACACCATAGAGATAAAATGTGGGTAGTAAATGCATGTGGTACCAGTTAGTTTCTCCACAATAGGCTTGAACTCCTCTGGACTGAGATAGTAGTCATGGTCTGTGTCCAAAGAGGAGAAGAGGAATAGTCCCTCTGCTCCCAGGACATGCAGACTCTGCTCCTGCAGACACACATCAATTATGTTACACTGATCCTATTGTTATGCTGCATGCTGCAGGCATTAATGTCATGTGCTGAATCAAAACTGGGGCAGCAATTAGAATTAAAAAAAAATCACTCAAATATATTTTGCACCATTTCTGAGCAGCCCTGAAGCCAGTGATGCAGACAACAGACAGATGCGTGCCTCCTAGTGCACTTATAATGGAGGTAAGAGGGTGGGAGAGGACAACTGAGAGCAAACAGGGATAGCAGACTAAAAGGAGTAGAGTTCTGCCAGCTGGGGCAACTAACAATGGAGAGGAGAAGCATACTTTGAATCCAGTTTTATGGATAGGATGTTGTAACTCCACAAAGAGAGGATTCGTTCCTAAACAGTAAATCTAATTCCAAAGACACTGAGTTGACTTGATAAAAACTTTCGCAGATGCGCAGCTTACATGACGTCTCAGAAGCTGGGCATCCTGGTAGTACTTGACCCCAAAAGCGAGAAGAGGCGCAGCTCCAACAAGGATCAGAAGCCACATTCCTCTCCGGACCCACCACACAGAACTTGTCCCCGGGCGAGCGGCTCCATTTCGCACAGGATTTCTGCTGCTGCCATCCTCCTCTGGGCTTTTATCCACGTCTGCGGCCATCCCCACCTCCTTCCTTCACTGCGGCTAATTAAGATAAGGAATGCAGTCAGACATTAGCCTTGATGCGAGGTTTACTCTAACATTTCTCAGTCTATATCAGAAATGGGCGGCTCGGATTGTCTGAGACCGGGTGCCACGCTCTCATACTCGAGGACAGGCAACAGCTGGGACGGGTTCTGGGGGGCTAGCTACAACACAGGTTTTATTTCCCACACAGAGACATAAAGTTACAAAAAAGACAATATGAACACACCGGAAGTCTTTACAAAATAAAAGCTTGATTCACTTTGTATCATCGGACAAACACCGTTGAACACATTTTAATTTGAAGGGAAAAGTGGCTGTAGTGTTGGCTACTCAATACATCAGTAAATAACATGGTCATTTACATAAAAGCATCCTCAATTACAAGGTTTCCAGCCAAAAACAGCTGCAAATTTTCTTCTCTTTAACGAAGAATCCAGAGACTACGCATTCTTTAAACAGACTACTTTCATGCAATAAAAATTATATATGATTGTGTAATGTCTATGATTTTTAATTTTATATCTACATAATAATTCTGACTACAGCACATTACATGAGAAAATGCAGAATTTGTATGTTTCTAATAACATTACTTATGAATAATTAAGAAAATGGCACATGACATTTCCACAAAAGGTTTATTTTGAATCTGTTGCATAATTGAAAAAATGAAAATCTGATATTGCTCCTGCAAATAATTCACTCAAGTGACTCCTGGGTAGCAAGGCAATAACTTTAAATATTTTAATTTTGGTAATATTGCATTTTAACTACAGGTCGCAAATCCTGCCCTCTCAGATTACAGAATCATAATCAAGTAACATTTTCTTGGTTTTCTTGGTATTGTATATTCCAGACACTCAGTATGTGGGTCTCATGAAAAGCTTAATGTGCCAAGAAGCAATGACTCACTCAGAGGAAGAGAGTGAGTGGTGGCAGAGATTCTAACATAGTGAGTGCACTTTAGCACCACACATATAATAGACTGGATTATCTGCTCATTTGATGATTTAGACCATGTTTACAAATCAGTCCATGTTTTCTTCAACAGGTTGTGTCTTCACTTCTATTTTTTTGGGAGGTATATAAGACCCCATTCCAGCTGCTCTTTCTGCTTCTGCCTGGGTGTATGGCTCTTCACTCAGCTGTTTCAATCTGAAAAGAAAAGATGGAGGCCATTGTCAATGTGTTGGTCAAGTTTATAACAGCAATGAAAGCAATTATATCATTGTGTACATCAGATTAAATATAACTAATAAATTACATACACTTAATCTTAAAGGTGCACTGTGTAACTTTTGTGTTTGTCTCTATGGATGATATTGCTTTGCCTTGAATGTTCCATAGTATGACATTAAACTTAAATCTTACATTTAATACAATTATAGGTGTTTTTATTGCTCTTAAGTTCAGAGAGAAACATGCATTCATTCTGGGTAGGGTAACATCTTCCCAGATCTGACCCGTAACTTGGCCTGGTGAAGTTACTTGCCTGTTACCATGGAAACATATGCTTAATGTCAAACTGAGGAACATACTAAGCCAAGCAATAATATCTCCATGGAGACCAGCTGTTTGCAGATTCTCCACCGCAAAAGTTACATAGTGCACCTTTAACTATGCAGTGCTTACAAAACATTTTTGCAGTCAGTACACACAAATGACACTTAGCTGTGAAATGCATCCAAAATAGCAATAAAATCCCTTAAAATCACTTAACTTCATGAACAAGAGCTCTATTGTTACACAGTTCAAACATACTGTGTACCAACCTTCTTTTGTGGACTTTACTTTTGAAGTGCTCTTTCATGGATCTCAAGTCAACAAAGTACCTCCTGCAGAAGAACAGAAACAATGCCTTTTTGAATAAACAGTACAAGCTTGTCTCAGTGTCTTTGGTGTAGTGTACATACGCGCAGTGCAGGCAGTAGTGTTGGGCATTTCCAGTGACGTCGTAGTCCACCTCTTGTTTAAGCAGTTTGGCTGCCACCTCTGGTTTCATGTCGGCGTGGATCTGATCCAGGTCCTTGGTCCGTCTCTTGGTCTTCCATGTTTTTGCAATGTGTTTCTTTTTGTCACTCTTGTGGTTTCCGATTTGTCTGGACTTCACCATCCTAGATACAATACAATACAGCTGGTTATCACAGTGGGCCAGGTATTTGGAACAATCAAATTAATAATTTTCTGTTAATTTATCTTAATCTGCTCTTAAATGTTTGTTTTAAATGCATTTATTTTTATAATTGTATCAATATTTTTTGCGTTATCCCATATTATTTCTATCCTTACAGCATGTCAGTCGAAAAGTAAAAGGTACTTTGTCAAATATAGATTAATCAGTGATGTCACCGTCATTTTAGCACAGTTTGGTACTAAGTTCGTCTGTAATTTTGCCCTTAATTTCTTCTAAAAAGGAGAACAAGACAATCTCTTCTGTTTATCTGTTTTGAGAAAGCAGGCACCCGTTAAAATCGCTTTAAACCCATGATCTTCTGTATCAGGATTACAATAATGCAATAATATATTATAAAGAAAACTGTAAAATTATATACATGATCACTGAGCGTGTAAAATAGATTTTACGACCAAATTTGTTTGGTTTGTTTTCGAGATTTGCTTACCTTCTTCCACACGTGTATCCACCGAGAGCGCTTCCGGGTCAAAACTCGGACTATTACGTGCAATCGTCCACAGGGGGCGCCAAATACGAGCAAAATACAGAAGGAAAACCTTATATTTTGTAGAGATTATGGTGGCCCAAATTATTTTATCTTCACAATTTCATCTAATGCAATTTGTGGAACACAAATTATAAAAACGATACTTAGACCTACTTCTACCTCTAGTATTCATTCACATTTCAGCCTATGCAGTATGAACGAGAATGGGAGCAATCTAATGTTATTTATAAATGTATACTCATGGCAAGTAAAAATTGCCATGTCAATTAAGAATCAAAAATACACCGTTTTATAGGGTGATAAGTACCTGTTCAGGGACTACACATACAGATGACAAATACCCTGTTTAACTAGATAAATGTCAGTAAATAAAATATCCCATTAAAAGAGGAGACTGATGCCCTAGCCATGATCTAATTCTTTCCGGATTAAAAAAACAAAACAAAACAAAAAACTCTACTGTTGTGAGAAACATATAAAAGTCAGTAGTCAGACTCTTTACTGAATAAGAGGTAAAAGGAGCTTGAAAACTACCACTTCATAACATCACAAGGTAGAACAGAGCATTTTGAGCTTTGGAGATGTACAAACTAATAATGTAGGGTTACAAAACACAATTCCGGATATGTTTTTGATGAGGTTACATTATTCTGCCATGGTTTAAAGATCACATGAGTCAATTTTGTGTAATATATGACCAAAGGTCATATATTGCACAAAATTGACTGGGAATAATATACTGGTGGAAAATACTATCTCAGCATGAGCAGCCGTGGATTTGCATGGGTCAAAGCAGCTTTCCAGTGGGTCTTGACCAGGGCTGGGCAATTGTCAAGGGCCGACACCTGGTCAAAATGCTTAACTCAATTCTGCATAATACTAATTGTATTTCTTTATAAAAAGTAGTAAATAGCATTGTTTTGACAAGCTGGTAAGACTGGTAAGAGTTTATGTTATGACTAAGAAATGAAAAAGTGTGTTTACCTTACAAAAATATAATTTAAAAAAGACCTCTAAAATGAAGGCAATGCAGCTTTAGTCCATACATGAGATAAAATGATAAAATATGTTCATTTTGTAATTCCAAATGAGCTTAAATGGGCCAGTCACAGTCAACCAAAGGTTTGCATGTGGCCCGAGAGCTGTGCAATGCCCAGTTCTGCTCAGGAATACAGGAACAGGATCGTAGACAGGACAATTTGATGGGTCAGGTCAGCATCATAGACAATATATATAACTATTTATTTATACTATACTATATACTATACTTATATTATATTATATTATATTATATATATTATATTATATTATATATATATTATATTATATTATATTATATTATATTATATTATAGTTATCTTTTTATACAGTCCATGGTCAGCATACAGGAACAGGATGATAGACTGGACTTGTGTTTATTTGTTGGGTCCATACAGTCTATGGTTGGTCAGGTCAGCATCATACACAATATATATTAATTTTAAATTTTATTTTTATTATTATTATTATTATTATTATTATTATTATTATTATTATTATTATTATTATTATTATTATTATTATTATTATTATTATTATTATTATTATTATATACAGTCTGTGGTCAGCATACAGGAACAGGATGATAGACTGGACTTGTGTTTATCTGATGGGTCCATATGACCTATGGTTGGGTCAGGTCAGCATCATAGACCGTATATATAATTATTTTAATTTGTTATTATTATTTTATTTTGTATTTTTATTATTTTATTTTGTATTTTTATTATTTTTTTGTTTATTATATTTATTATATTATATTATATTATATTATATTATATTATATTATATTATTATATATACTATACTATATATATATACTTTTTTCCATTTATTTTATTTTATACAGTCCATGGTGAGCACACAGGAACAGGGAGATAGCCTGGACTTGTGTTAGTTCCGAGCGCACATGAAGGCGGCGCCAGGCTGCTCTCCTCTCTCCTCTCCTGCATACGCGCCGCGCTCCAGAGCGAAGATGGCGGAGAATAATGTCGACCCAGAGCCCGAGTGGATCGAGCGGGCCTTCGATTCGGCGGAGGACACTCTGGTGGCGATGGAGAACCTGCTGGCCACGCTGAGGGCCTTCGAGGACGTTCTCAGGCAGCAGGACATTTCCATAGCATCTTCCATTGAGTATTGCGACAACTTCTGCCAGGTAATGTGTACAGTAGTAGCCCCCACAAGCTAGCCTGTTAGTTAGCTGGTCACTCTTGCATTCCAGATTCAGACCCTAGAACGGCTTTTGGGGTTAACATCATGTATTTTGCACCGATAGAAGAAAATGCATTTGAGAAGTGTGTTGTTTGTGATCCCCGTAAATGCAGGTGGTTTTATTTACTGTATTCTGATGTGTTGCCATTGTGCTAAAGCCAGCTGGCTACATTGACAGCTGATTGACGTGTAACTTTCTCCTCTTAGCATAGCAGCATCTTGTCTTGTTCCAACCAGATTTCGTTTCAAGATGAAAAATGAACATCTTTGCATGCCATAGTCCCACATGCTGGTCATATCTTCAGCGTTTGTACGTGAATGGGGCGGGGCGTTGTTGCATTTGTTTACCAAAATATTATCTGGTTTTATCTTTCTCCCATTCTATATAAATGTCCCTGTCTGATTTCTGGGATCGATTTTACAGGCAGCTGGCTTAAATGAGCACCAACGGGTTGACAGTTAAAACCGAAAGAGGAAGTAAAATGCTAAATAGGCATGGGTTATTAGGTTACAAGTAGAGGGTAAATGAAAAGTGTCTGAGTGTGTCTTTTTTGAGATATCCCATGTATTAGTGCATATTCTTTTAACCATGCAGCAGAAGTCCTTGAAAGTGTTAAGAGGCACAGAAGTAATTAGCACACTGATGATGGTCCCTGGAGTTAAAGCCTTATTCTTGTCACCTATAAAGAGTCAGTGGTATATGAATACTGGAGGGAATACATTTCGAACCTTCTGAAAGGGTGCCCCAGCTGCAAAATGAGCCCCCTGGGATGTTGATAGTAGAATGTCAAATTAGGAGAAGCAAAAAAAGAAGAGACCAAAATGGCTTTATGCAGGTAGAAGACAGGTGGACATATTGAGGTTATCAAATGTTTAGTCTACATTTGTCTTATTTTTGGTGGAATTTGTTCACTTCTCAAACTTTCAGTTATTGTTTTGTGAAGTAACTTAATATGAAGAGACATGTCCCTTATGGACCAATCAAGTGCTCCTATTGGACAGGCTGCCATTTGGGACCAATCAGCTAAAACTATTCCCTATTGGTAAAAACTCATAAATCTGTAGTGTTTTTTCTACTTTTAACAAATCTTTTGTTGATATGCTTTGTATAGGCACTGATGCACTATGCTGGCAGCAGAAACTCCATGGATCATGGACTACCTCTTCTGGAAGTATATTGTCTTTCCATTAACTGCTTTGCTTCGGCCAGGTCCCATCTCACGGCAGAGTCGGATAAAGTGGAACTTGTCTTAAAAAGATTGGCTTTGTAAGTACTACTATAATCTTTCTGATTGCAATTCAAAACTGACCTTTTTGCATATGTACCATTATGTTTGTCATACATTTACTTATATATTACTAAGTTGCATTTTTCATGTATAAGAAGGATTATACACATTATCCTCTTCCTTCATGTACAGGAGCTGCTTTGAACTTTTTCTGTCAGTGCCTGAAAATGAGATCCCGTATGAAGCATGGCTTCAGTTCCACCAGTCTGTTCTGGTAAATATGTTGCACAACAATAATCCACACAAATCTACCTTTTGTGGGAGATGGTAATAATGAGCCTCATATGCACCACCAGTCACACTGCACACAACAACAGTATGTTCTTGGTTCTAACTGGAACCAAACCATCACCAATTTCGGCTGATGAGCGAATGCTCTAATCATTGAGCCACTGTGGCACTGTGATGTTGAGCAAAACAACTATTACACTTGCACTACTGCTGGTGTAATAGTGCTTAAAACTGAACAATGAAATGCAATGTTGAGCCCAGCACTACTCCAGTGAGTTCATCTGTAATATGTCCACAACAATGGTTGATTAAAAGTAATTGTCTCTGCATGCATGGATCTAAACTATGGTGACTGAACTAACAGCTGAATCTTAAAATGCACATTTATTCTGTCTGATGCTAGTAATAATAATACAACTGAACAGGTACTATAGACCACTATGTAAATGTGTTAATGTGTATGTTTGCCTTGCAGCTCGCCCATGGTATGCTGTTGGAATATGGCAGCACAGATTTACAAGCACTTGTCCAGATCACTGGAGAAGGAGGTGCCTGGAGTAACCCTGTTCTTACTTCACTGCTCACAGGGCAGCCCACCAACACAGAAGAAGGTTTCTATTTCACATGGGTTCTATTTTATTCATCATTAATTATCCAATTTACTTATTCATCTGTATCTTTTGTTCATTTCTAGTGGATGCATACATTTGTTTGGAGGGGGAAGGCTTCATGGAAATGCGAGTCAAGCACTTGGAGAAAATTGGTGAAGTGGCCAAAGCTGTAGTCCTTGCCAAAGCATGTGTTGAATGCAACTTTATTTCAAACAAATGCACCTTTCGTCAAACCTACGTCTCGCTACTTTGTCACCTTCTGCCCAGTGAGGAAGCTATATCTGAGGTATTGTACTGTTAGCTTTTAAAATTAAACATTCATATTAGTTTCATGTGTTTTGTTTGCACAAAAGAGGAGGATTGGATCTCTGACTGTCTTTGTATGTTCTTATACTGTATTCAGCAACATGTAATAGTCATTTTTTTCCAGATCTCCAGGCTTGACTGCAAGGACGTACTGGAGATTACGTGTAATCTTGAGACTGAAGGAGATGAGAACACAGCGTTCATTTTGTGCACGACCTTCCTAACACAGCAACTGCAGCAACAGAATCTTTACTGCTCCTGGTCAGTGCCATGTCATGTTTTTTATTTATAGTGTCAGAAATATGGGAAATTATCATCATTGTGTTTATAGGGAGCTGATTCTCCTATGGAGCAAGCTTCAGAGAAGGCTTGATCCCACATTGCTGTCATTTCTGGAACGATGCCTTCAGCTTGGTGCCATTGCCAAAACAGTATATCATTTACTTTACCTGGTCAGAGTTATTCAAACAGAGGTAAGTTTTCCATCCTTTCTGATCATTTGTATATTCTGAAACATAAAAAAGTGAATGATTATTTGTATTTACAGGTGGAGGATCTGGGTGTAGCACCATCAGTTGAATTGTGTGTTAAAGCTCTTCAGTTGCCAAAGCAAGATGATTCAAACACACGGATCTCTGTCTGCAAAACAGTATCCTGCCTTCTGGCAGATGATCTTGAAGTGTGCCGTGCCTGTCAGCTTACGGAGTTCCTGCTCAGCCCCTGTCAAGAAGTCTTCCGGACCCTCGAGGAGCTCTACCTGCGCCCGGATCAGAAAAATGACCAGGAGAATATGGTCATTCCAAACTCACTGCGTTGTGAGCTGCTGTTAGCACTTAAATCATATTGGCCTTTTGATCCAGAATTTTGGGACTGGAAAACTCTCAAGCATCAATGTATTTCTCTTCTTGGTCTAAAACCAGAATCAGAAGAAGAAGAAGAAGTAGATGATGGGTCAGCGTCACAAGAAAAGTGTAAATTAATAGAGTTTGAGGGGGCCTCAGAAGATTTGGGGAGTCCAAACCGGTTGAATGGTGTACCTAAATTAAATGAAAAGAACAATTCTAACTCTAGTTTATCAGAAAAGCAATATCATTCAAAGACAAAAAAGGGCAAGTTTCGATGTCAAATTTGTAAAAGGTCCATCACTGATGCTCAACTTGTCCACCATTCAAAAAGACATTCATTAGAGCGCATACATCCTTGTCCCATTTGCTTACAAAGGTTTAATAGCAGAAAACAACTGGTTCCTCATTTAAACCATCACATAGACACTACTGTTTCTTTGAATAAATCCAGTGTGAAAGCAGAGCAGGAGGAGAAGCATAGTGAGGAAGATGAGGACACGGAGCCAGGGGAGATCCCTGTAGACCCTTCTTTAATGATGTACTACAAATCCACACATGACCCTGATGTGTTGGAGCACATCGTTCAGCAAGTGAATAGTCCAAAGAAGCATGTGGACAGTGATGAACATGTCACATTTGATTACATATACAGACACTACAATCTACAAAATAGAGATGAGTACCCATGCCCCGGAACCAACTGTTCCAGGGTTTTTAAACATTCAAAGTACCTGAATGTCCATTTAAAATCTGAACACAGAGGCGATGAGAATGTGAAGTATTTTCATAAAATGAAAGACAAACGGGAGAAGTGTGCGTTTTGTAGGAAACATTTAATGTCAAACTACCACTACAGGAAACACCGCAAAGCCCACTGTGGAGATCAGCCACACAAATGTCTGGTTGTGGGGTGTGGAGCACAGTTTGTGACTTCAAGTGAACTCTTTTTACACAAACAGACACATGGCTATCAACTGAACTATCAGTGTGAGCTCAAAGGTTGTTATGTCACTTTCTCTGACTTGGGGCAGCTCTACCATCATGAGGCACAGCATTTCCGTGACGCAGCATTTACGTGTACAGCCCCAAAATGTAAAAAGTATTATTTCTCTAAATCAGCTTTTACTGAACATTTAGCCACACATAACATACACTTTTCAGAGCAGGACTTTGAAGCCCAGAGAAAAGCCAAAAGAAAACAGTTAAAGTCTTCTATAAATGATTCATTGACCAGTCAAATTTGCACTGATTACACACAGTCCATAAATGGAGACCTCAACACTTCTGCTTGCACCTCTCCATCAGAAAGCAGGGAGGCTAAAACTACCTTGGTTGCTGTTTGTTTTGATGGAAGCAAATTTACATGTGGATTTGAGAAATGTGGCATGACTTTTTCCAGAGCCCGAGATGTTCAGAGACACCTGAAATGTGCCCATCCAGAACACCTTAAACTGGAGAACAAAGAGCATAAACACGACCGAGAACGAGGCTTCAAATCCAAAGGAGTAAAACATGAAAACAAAGGAAGCACTAACAAAGGACAGAATGAACTCAAAATGCCCTGCCTGTCCAAAAAGAATAGAAAAGAAAAGAGAATGTCTTCTCAAAACAAACATTCAGAGTCAGGTGTATTACATGAAGCTTTGAAAGAAATTATTAATGGACTCTGTAAACTGGACATAAATTGCCCCTCGTCTCACGGTGAACCTCCAGAGCTTACTCCAGAAACCCAACTATCGGAGAAGCCAGTTGTTCAAAAGAGGTCTCACCCCGATAGAGAAAGGAATAGTACCTTAAGGTCCACACCGGATGCAAATGTTTGTCAAGAATCACGCGCCAACGACAGGCCTCATGCATGTAAAATTTGTGAGTATAGAGGAACTAAAAAATATAACTTAATGCGCCACTACATCAGACATGGTTATACTCGAGAACAGGCTACAAAATTGTCTTCGCCGTATTCTTGCCAATTTTGCCCTAAAAGTTACAATGAAAAAGATTTATTAAGGGATCACTACATTCAAATACATGATCTAGATGAAATATTGGTGAATGAAATCATTTGTGGGTTCGGTGATGAGGAAAGCAAACCAACCAACTCTCCATCTAAGGCATCTCTGTGCTCCTCAAGTCCAAAAAGCAAGGAGATCAAACCATTACTGCAGCCGGAAACTGAGATGAAGCAGGATGACAATCACCCATCTGAGAAGGAACAGCACAGTGTGGAGAAGGAGGAAAGTGAAGCTGGGGAGATGCATCACGGCAGAGCTAAACGGTTGGTGTCAAAAAGTAACCTCTGCTATATTCTGGATAAATTCAGCAAACCTTTTCATTGTGTGGCAAAAAACTGTGATGCTGCTTTTTCTGCCCAAGGAGGGCTTGTGCGTCACCTTCAAATGGTCCATCATTACAACCGATCTCAGCTTCTACTGGAAAATGAATGTGATGAGCAAAGTTCTGATTTGAAAAAAGAACATTCCAAAAAAAGGTCTGCTCCAATTTCAGACGAACCTCAGCCACAATACAAATGTCACTTTGCCAACTGTCACGTCTCCTACCATCTTAAAAGCAGCTTGGCTCGTCACACTAGAGACTGCCACTCACAGCCAGAAGTCATATCCAAATATGACGGTCATACAAGTGCAGCCAGCCATGATGGTGAGCTGAAGAAACATGTTTATTATAACCACTGTGAATATTACAATTCACTTGTTGTGCGCTTGCAAAGCACTCGCAAAAACTCTGTTACTGGATGTCAGAAGAAACTTATAGTCCCAAGTCAAAGTCCTCCAAGGGAAGAACCTGATTTAGCTAACACTCAAAATGGTCAGTCAAGTCCAGAGCCAAATCAAAATGAACAAGAGGAAAATACATCAAAAACAAGCTATGGCCCTGTGCGTTTTGTCTTCAAATCACATGAAGAGGCATTACAAATGTGCCAAGATCGTTGTCTTCCTGAGGCCTATCCCTGCCTGGTTCAGGACTGTGATACTGTAGTTGGATACCGGCGAAGCCTACGCCGGCACTACCTACAAGTGCACCATATGGGCACAACCTTTTTTGAAAATGGAGAAAAGGAGCTTATTTTAAATGCAGAGCAACTAGAGGAGATGATTCAGAGAAAGTCTGTAAGACCCACAAGAGCATCTAGTCCTAATGGAGTTCGCAAAATGGAGTACCAGACAGAGCCAGAAAACCCAGGAGGGCAGTCTACACCCATGAGCTTACACTGCATCAAAGCTGGGACTCCAGATGAGACCCACCCAGACCCACTGGGATTCCCTGAGGAAGTAGAGGAGGAGCAGCCATCTGTTGAGAGGAACAGTATGCTTGTAGGTGCAGACGACGTGCTCTATGGAGAGCCTAGCACTGACGGACACACTGAAGAAGCTACACCTGTCACACAGAACAGTCAAAAACCACAGGAGCGGCTGAGCCTGGAGCAGATCAAACCATTTTTGCGTCCAGTAACCGTAGATCTATCACCTCCAAGTTCACTGCGCTTTATTACAGAGAAGGGCTTTGTAGATCTGTCAAACAACAAAGCTAAAGAAATGATAAAGGAGAAACTAAAGAACCGAACACTTTCTGTGTCCATTCCACGTATTCGTGAGCCCTTAAAAAGGAAAAATGATTTATCTGAACAGCCATCAAATGTAATGGATGCCCCTCACAAGCATAGTGACATAACTGCATACAAGCCTGTGCGCTTTGAGTCTTCATTTTTGAAATTCATCCAAGAGACTGTGCCAAAAGAAAAAACTGTGACGTCTTCCAGGCGACAGAACTCCTTCAGACGCAGTTGTTCAGTGAAAGAAAACAACCAGTTGGGCATTGCTCACACACGCAAACGTACCCATTCCCCTTTGCTGAAACCCCATGCTGTCTCTGGGGACACTTCAAACTTGAAATCCATCTTGGACAAAGCACTGGCTGGGTGTGGGGACCTGGCCATTAAACAACTGCAGTACCTTAGGCCTGTGGTGGTTCTGGGCAGACCTGTATGCTCCACTACCCTGTCTAATTTTTTTCCTACAGACACAAATAAGAGTAAACTGCTTCTTGGAAGTTAAGATACATTAGCACCTTTTTATAAGAGCTTTGCAAATGCCTTTGCGGCTTCATAAGTATTTTTTCTGGACAATGTGTTAACTTTTTACTAGACAAAAAATTACTTAACATCAAATCAAAAGACTGTTTCTTATTTTGATATGTTAAATTATTACTGACAAAGCTGTTGTATACAAGTTTTGACACAGATACTTGAATATGTATCAAAGCATTGTGTGGTATTGAATGAGTGTGCATACAGAGAAAGTGTACAGACTTTGCTGTTGGTCAGGCAGCTGCAGTGACCCTTAAGACTATTAAGCTTTGTTCTTTATCACCTCAGTTAGGATTCTGTCAGTGTTGGGAGTGCTGTGGACTAATATTGCCAGATGTGTATGCAACTATTTTAATAAAGTGTGAAAAAGTGGTAAGAGTAATTTGATGTCTTATCTATATATTTAAAACAATTCACTAGTTATATATGTGTAATTATAAGCATATGTCTCATTAGTCTGAGTCATTTCTACAAACTAAACTGCAGTTCTCCTTTGACCTAAAGGTTTAATTTGTGATGGGAGGATAATAGAGTGTCTTTGTTTAAAAAAAAAAAAAAAAGAAAAGAAAATGGTAATAATAATAAATCAAATTTCCATAAAATATTTAATTAAATGATCTTCTATTCTGGAGTGTTTGAACCAGCTGAAAATGCAAAACAACCATTTTTGCAGAACAGAAAACCAGACAGGTTCAATGAAATAGGAGGAATGCCGCCAAAACTTTGAAAACAAAATGTGCCGCGACTCAAAAATAAGAAAAAAAAAAAGTTGAAAAACACTTAAATATAATACTGTGAAGTAAAGATTCAAATAAATCAATATTGTGTCAGTTATATCTGCGGAACCAACGTTACCACACTGCTTTTCTACGGACGGGATTTGTTGATGCACTTCCATTGATGGACTTCAGCCATGGCATGAAGGGAAATTAGATATTACATGGTTTAGAATTGTTTTTTGCTTGTCTAGTATTAATGGAATTTAACCTGTCCTTCCTAGGGAAACTTGCTTTAATTTGACTTGTCGATTTCTTGATTTGATTTTTAGGCAGCTTTCTCCGGCTGTTTTTAGGCTAAGTAACTGTTAGCCTGTTAGCGCTAGCCCAACACGCTAGTAACGTTTGACAAGTTGTAGGGCATTATTCCAAGACTGAATTATGGAAAATATATTTGAACTTCCTGTGGAAAAGCAGATATTTTATGCTGTGCTTGGATTTTCCTGGACGGTGTATCTATGGGAGGCATATCTTGCTTACAGACAGGTGAGTCCCAGCCCTCCTGTAACTGTCACTGAGCAAAATACCGATATGAAAGGGATTACATGTTTTGTCCACTACAGTAATTACTGCAGTATTAGTTACTTTTCATTGATATGAAGTATGTTTGAGGTCGTTTGTTGATCATGTTCATCATACATTTCCTGTTCACTCTGCAGAGGAAAATGTACAGACTGACCACACATGTACCACAAGAACTTGGAAAGATAATGGATTCAGAAACGTTTGAGAAGTCTCGTCTTTATCAGCTGGATAAAAGCAACTTCAGTTTTTGGTCTGGTCTGTATTCTGAGACTGAAGGAACGGTAAATAGATTTATCCTTTTTTTTTCAGTTTTCTCCTGTGAACGATTGGAGCTGGACATTACAAACCTCATATGTTGTCATGTTTTTCAGCTCATTCTGCTTCTTGGAGGAATCCCCTTCTTGTGGGCCATTGCTGGCTCCGTCACTGCCCGCTTTGGTTTTGGTCCTGAATATGAGATTACCCAGTCTCTTGTGTTTTTGACACTTGCCACACTGTTCAGTGCTGTAACAGGACTCCCCTGGAGCTTGTACAACACATTTGTCATTGAAGAGAAACATGGCTTTAACCAGCAGGTATGCATTCTTTTGAACAGTCCATTTGCCACACTGTTTTCTGATTTAATTTGTATGTTTTGTACTTTTCTCTAGACACTGGGCTTCTTTTTCAAGGATGCTGTCAAGAAGTTTTTTGTTACTCAGTGTATCCTGCTTCCTGTGACCTCACTCCTTTTGTACATCATCAAGATTGGTGGAGACTACTTTTTTATTTATGCCTGGCTATTTACCTTAGGTGTCTCTCTGGTTAGTCTTTCTGGCTATCAAAAATATTACTTTACTTTATATATTTTTACTAATATATAATGTTTTGTTTTTCCACCAGATCCTTGTAACCATTTACGCTGATTATATAGCTCCACTGTTTGACAAATTTACTCCTCTACCTGAGGGGGAGCTGAAGAATGACATTGAGTCTATGGCCAAAAGTATTAGCTTCCCTCTCACAAAAGTCTATGTAGTTGAAGGTAAAATCAAATATTGAACTTCTAAACAAGTCTACTGTATTACAAATCATGTCTGTCTCTGTAGGTTCCAAGCGGTCATCCCACAGCAACGCATATTTTTATGGTTTTTTCAAGAACAAACGTATTGTGCTATTTGACACACTGCTGGAAGACTACTCTCCCCTCAATAAAACTGGAGAATCTGAGACTGAACAACCAGAATGTAATGAGGAAGACACAAAAATTAAGCCCAAGGTGATTTTAATAAGCACATGCACAAACAGATGATCATGTTTCTCTTTGGCTGGTTTTATTTAACATTTCTCTCTTCTGTTGGTCAGAACAAAAAGCAGGGCTGCAACAACCCAGAGATTCTGGCTGTTCTGGGCCATGAACTTGGTCACTGGAAGCTGGGTCACACTGTCAAAAATATTGTTATCAGTCAGGTTAGGATTTTTAAATGTTCAATGAAAGCAGTATTGCTTTGATTATTCATTGGAAGACAAAACTCTTTGATTTTTTTTTTTCTATAGATGAATTCCTTCTTGTGCTTCTCTTTGTTTGCTGTATTGATTGGACGAAAGGAGCTGTTTGTAGCTTTTGGCTTCACTGAGAGTCAGCCCACACTAATAGGCTTGATGATTATCTTCCAGTTCATCTTTTCTCCCTACAACGAGGTAAGGCTTAAATTTTATGTTTACTGACTCCATAGGTTTGTTATGTCTTATCGATTTGAATTTGAATCTGAATTGTTTTTGCAGCTCCTGTCCTTCTGCTTGACTGTGCTAAGTCGCAGATTTGAGTTTCAGGCAGATGCCTTTGCCCGCAACATGGGTAAAGCCTCTGAGCTCTATTCAGCTCTTATCAAGCTCAACAAAGACAACCTGGGCTTCCCTGTGGCTGACTGGTTGTTCTCCATGTGGCATTATTCTCACCCTCCGCTCCTGGAGCGCCTCAGAGCTTTGGGCAGCATCAAACAGGACTGACGTGTTCAGAGGGGAGAGCGGCGACCACTGCCTCCCCCAAAAGGCCTCCGTAGACCGCTCCTCTCCATCTGATGCACCCTAGTCGTTTTCTGCTTTTATTCTGTTCACTTAACTACATGCAACATTGTGTTCTCCTTTAGACGTCAACAAACCAGAATATGGACAATATACCACCTGGAAAAATGTATTGTTTGGTGATGACTTGTTCAAAAGAGCACTTGAAGTGTTTTGGGTAATTTGTCTGTACTGAAAGTTGTTCAGTTGTCTTTAAAAAATGTTCAGTTCTTAGTAAAGTTTAAAAAGTATACTTTTTTCATAGAAATTTTGTAATTTCTTTTATTGGGACAAATGTTTTGTCTTCAAGTGTAACTGCTCTAATCACACAATTTTTCATACTTCACGAGACCACTTTCTACCAGATGAGAGTGCCTCCCAAATCTGTGATACTGAAGCCTTTATCAACAGAGCAGTGTTTTATATACTTTCAAATATGGCTAGTTCTTCTTTTACCAACAGCTGGAAGGATTTTGTGTTACTTACATTGTTTTTATGTGCTTTATAAGGGTCCAATTATAATTGTATATGTTGATGAGGAATAATTTAAAAGAGCTGAAGACATTCTGGAATGTATATTGAAGTCTAAGTTGAAAGACATTTTTGTTTTTGGATGAAAGCAGGATTGTTTGGTTTGATTATAAGGAGAATGTTTTTTTGCAGCAATAAAATGCTGATGACTCTGTGAGGTCTGTGTGTGTGTGTGTGACATCATTTATAAGCTAATACAGACAGACCCACTATACTCGGTCCTATGCTTCTATTTTAATTTTACTAGCTTATGTCAAATTCACTAGATGCTCAGGTCAGTGTTTACCACGCTATCGTAAAGTGCGTACTTTACTGCGCCGACTGGTTAGGTCCACTCCGGTAGGGACCATTATGAACACTTATTTTAAAGCTTAGTCTTTGCATTTGCAATACACTGTAAAATGTAAAAAAAATATTATTTCATCTCTAGCTGATGCTAAAAGAAAAACATATATTGTATAGCTTTTAGAGAAGAATCTGACTCTTCGTGCCCCCCCCCGTGTGGAGAATGGTTTGGCCCTGTGTATTTCTGTGGACAAGGACAAGCTCCGCTCCACCGCCGCTGTCCGCGCCGTGAGCTGAAACCATGGCGAGGTTTTTGAGGCCTAATATCAGAAATTTTGTCACTTCTCAGCTGAGAATGTCTTCCGATCAGGTAAACCAAATCTAAGATATGTATGAGCATTGGGCAAAGACCGTGCTTATCTTCATTTTCAGTGTCATTGAAAAAAACAGCTTGACATTTTGGGACTGGGGACATTTCAAATTTTGAAATCTACTGTTATATATTTAAAATATAAATGATATATTACTATTAAATGTGTTGTTTTTTTGTTCTCATTCTGTGTAACAAATCTCAACATATTGGCCTGTATTTTGTAGTCTGTAGTTTTGAACAAAAAGTTGACCCTTTGGTTGAGGTCTCTGATATTTACAATTTACAACAATGAACTCCAGTAATGACCTTCATTATGGACTTTGTTTTTTTTAATGGGTTCTTCTGGTTTATGTAATAGAACAAATTCAGCTGTGTCACTGGGTTAATATGCCAAACGTGTAAACATAAAAACTCTCTATAACCTGTCATTATATTCATTCTGTACAGCTTGGTGAGCTTGGCAAAGGTGCTGGAAAGGGAGGAGGGGGTGGAGGTTCTGTCAGAACAGCAGGTGGAGCCTTTGGGAAGAGAGAGGCAGCTGAGGAGGAGCTCTACTTCAGGTCTGTGTTTTTTTGTTGTTGTTTTTTTTCCTTTTAAGTTTTCCTCACTATGTCTGAATATGTTAGTTCACTCTGATACTTGTCACTTTTAGACGTAAAGAGCAGGAACAACTGGATGCATTGAAGCAGCACCACCAGGAGGAAATTGACCATCACAAAAAGGAGATTGAACGCCTCCAGCGAGAGATTGACCGTCACAAGGGAAAGATCAGAAAGCTTAAACATGATGACTAACTGGTTCTCTTCTTACCATACCAAAAGATCAACTGCATGCACCTTGGGAAACAATGTGTGGATGATTGTTCTATGGATACATGATTAGAACTGTTAAGTTGTTTTCAACTTTTCATATTGAGTGGTAAGCTTAAATAATGACTGTGATCTTGTTTGTTTAAAATTTGTTATGTAAATTAAAGTGTGAAAAGTACTGGAAAGCTGTTTCATTTGTGTATAGATAAAACTGGGAACTGAGGGAGTGTTGTCACATGGGGGACTTTTGACACACGTTGGTTTTTGTGCTTTCCTGTTAAAAAACAAACAAAAGCTTTACAGACAATAATGCATGGTGACAGACATGTCAGTGGGTTACAGCTGGGTGAGGATGGAGATGGCAGATGACACAGTGGGGGTCCACAGCAAAGTTGAACCCTGGGTTTTTAGTTCTAAATTGTAAGTTTAAGGCTTAGACTGTCTTCAGTAGCAGCAGTAAATATGTGGGCTTAAGTTACACTGAATGTAACGAGCATTTATTGGATGCTCACGGATACGCGTAATAAATACAGCTCACTTTAAAATGTGCCTTTATGTCACACTAATGTCACTAGGGGGCAGCAGTCCTGTCAGGAGCACCAGCACAAGGCGGTGTCGTCACTTCCGCCTGCCCGTGCCTTTTAGCACGGCAGCCCCGTGTGTCTTTCTTTTGGCTCGTCATGGCGGACCGGTTTAATAAGGTGTGTGCATGCACTCGGAATATTTCTACTTTTTCTGCCATATTCTGGGTGGAAACGTCACCTTTGCTGATGTATCCTCACATTATAACCCCATGCCTTTCGTTTGGTGTTGGAATCGCATTCTTGCGTTGTTCTGCTCCGTACTTTTGATTAATTCTATCCCTGACGGGAAGAGCATGCCGTCAACATGGCAGCTCCCGCAATGCTCTGGTCTGAAGCTCCCCTCGCTAGATTGTGAGGATAAAGCAGTGTAGTACAGTCTGCTACTGGGACAAGTAAAACTCAAACTTTTTTTCATACTTGGTTTGTGAATACACATACAAATAAAATCTGACCGTTTACGTAGATATTTATGTAGGCTAAAGGCTATGGGGTAAACCATGTGGCTAATGGCCTGGACGAGTTGCTTTGACATTAGAAGTTATTTTCCAAATGTTCAGTGGAAGTGTTGTCGCAGTTGGTTTTATCCCATGCCTTTTTTATTTTCAGGTTCTGCTGCTTGATGGCAGGGGCCATCTACTCGGGCGGCTTGCTGCCATCGTAGCTAAACAGGTCCTGCTGGGTAAGTGAAATACTCCTGTTGTCTACACATGGTATTCTAATGTATAATCTGCTAACTGTCAGTGATGAGATTTTTGTCCAGTTTTGAGTTTAACGACCATGGGAAAACCTTACATGCACTACCATCTGAGACACAGTGCAGAGGAGTGTATAGTTCTCTTATTTGTATTTAGTGTCTAAACATTGTATTATCCTTTTCAGGGCAGAAGGTTGTGGTTGTGAGATGTGAGGGCATTAACATCTCTGGCAACTTTTACCGCAACAAACGTGAGTATGATTCACACTTAAATGTGATCTGAAATTCTGTCTGTGATGTTACTTAACCGTTAATTGTTTTGAGTTTAACTGACCATGAGAATACCTTACATGCACTACCATCTGAGACATATAAAAGTGATTTCTGTAGAGCTCAGTACTGTGCATTATTTTTAATTAATCACCTTGTTCTTCTCCAGTGAAGTACCTTGCCTTCTTGCGCAAAAGGATGAACACCAACCCCTCCCGTGGACCCTACCATTTCAGAGCTCCCAGCCGCATCTTCTGGAGGACTGTCAGAGGTCAGTGCGTTGTTGTGCTCAATTAATGGAAGACACTGCATGTAATTTAAAAGTACAGTTGTATAATTGCTTTTAATAAGGCACCCTACAACATGTAAAACTTACCCACATAAGTTCTTACTCAGTGATGAGCTCTTTATCCCGAAGCTGAGCCTCTTGATGAGACAAACCTTACGGATCTGACTACTGAGTTGAGTTAGAACTTGTGCTGTAGCTAAACCTCGTCTATTCCATTACTTGTGTTTAAGTATTTTTGTTCTTTACAAAGGTATGCTTCCCCACAAAACCAAGAGGGGCCAGGCTGCTCTGGACAGGCTGAAGGTGTTTGATGGCATCCCCCCACCCTATGATAAGGTATTGAGACTAAATGCTGAATATTTCTCTAGGCCTTTGTCAGTGATGTCAACCTTTAAACCTATCTACCTTGTTTGAGCTGTAGTGAAAAGAAACAAAGCTGAGACGAGAACAGGAAGCAATCATAATTCATCTGTTTTTCCCTCTCGTGCTAAACTGTTTTGGTGTTTACAGAGAAAGCGCATGGTGGTTCCCGCAGCCCTGAAAATTGTGCGTCTGAAGCCTGCCCGCAAGGTGAGTCTTGAGTTTATACCGTAGATCTCAAGCTTTATAGATGGCTTTGATTGGCCGTTAATAGACCTTCACAGTGATGAGCCCTTTATCCCGAATCTGATCAGTTCTGATGAAAAAATCTTTACGGATCTGACTACTGAGTTGATGGAGAAGTGCTTTGTGCTGTGGTACATTCTCTCTGATTTAGAACTAAAAGGGTTTTTTTTTTGCCTTCCAGTTTGCGCTCTTGGGCCGTCTGGCACATGAGGTTGGCTGGAAGTACCAGGCAATCACAGCCACTTTGGAAGAGAAGAGGAAAGAGAAGGCCAAGCTCCGCTACGCCAAAACGAAGGTGGTGACCAAGCTGACCAGGCAGGCAGAGAAAAATGTAGAGAGCAAGATCGCAAAATACACAGATGTTCTCAAACAATACGGCGTCATTGTCTGAGCTGGCTGCTTCTGCTCAATAAATACGTGTTTATAGAAGGTCTATGGTCTGCTTTCATTTGTAAAGTTTTTTCAAGCGAACTGTATAACACAAGGTACTTAGGAGCACACTTATTTTTAATGAGTTGTGGAATAAAATTTGTTCCTTAAATAGTTAGAAATTATCACAAGTAACAATTTGATGCAGGGAAGATTATGTGTAATGGCGCTGATTACTTTGCCATTGATCCTCAAAGAATGAATGTGTGTTTGGAAGAATTGACTGCACTAAAACCATACTAGTCTAAAAATACATGTTTACCATTTTTAACTCTTCTTTAGTTCAGAAACTAGTCTCTGCCAAAGACTCAGTGCACATTAGGTGGCTATTTTACAAAAAGTAATACCTGAAATGCATGTAGCGGTTCCTGTTTCACAGATTATTTCTAGCATGTATTATAAAGTCCACCAGAGGGCACTATCGGTCTAAATTTGGGCAAAGGGTGCACTGGCTAACTGCAAATGATTTGGTGGAAAACATTTTACTTTAAGGGTTTGCCTTACACTGGGAGCAGATTACTCAAACAGTTTATGTACCAATTTCACTCAGTCTTGGCCGTCCTGTTCTCATTCATTCAGTGATCTCAATTTTCATTTGATGCCATGTGTGTAAAATCCCTCAGTTGTACAGGTAGAATCCATGGCAAAGGATAAATTCAAATTTGTCAACTGGACAAAAGTTTATTTTGGTCAAATACGTTGTTGGACACTGCCTTATATCTCTCTGTAGGAAGGAGCTAACTCCACTCATACTACTCTGAAACTAACACCTACTTGTTCAGTTTGTTAGCTAGGCCTATAATTTATATATACACAGACATAATTTTATTATTAAAGCAGTGTCTACCAGCATTTTGCCACACTTGATGCCATATTTTTGATCAAGCTTTGTCAGATTTTCAAATAAGGATTTCTTTAAAGCTCTTTTAAAACCACACTCAAAACTGCAGATTTACTGTGGAGGCTATGAGGTTTGATTGACTGCCCTGGATCAGAGACTAGTCCTTTCTGTTAGACCCTGGCTTTAAAGGACCTTATTTGGGCTATGCTGAGCAAGTCAATGAACTCGAGAGAAAAGTAATTATGCATGTTTCCTGTACACTTAATGCTTTAACCTTTAAAGGTCCCATATTACACAACAATGGAGCATTCTTACATGGTTTAATTTAAAACATATTTGTAGTTGTGTTTTGTTTCATTCACACTTTTTTAGTCTACATTTCAAAATGCTCTGTTCCAGTTTGCGATGCCATGACGTGGTAGTTCTCAAGTTAACTATTGTTTATCCTTTGTTCAGCTGAGATTGGCAATTCCAGGACTGAAATCATCCAAATGAGTCTTGTGAAGGAGTATGGAGTTTAAAAACACAGTGGAGCACTTCCTGTATTACCACATGACATCACAGAGTGGAGTGTTTTCTGTTTGATAGAAGAATTCAGCCTAAATATGCAGGATTTGTGTGATAAACGTGTGTGAATGAAACACAACTCCAGGTCTGTAGGTAACAATAGATTTGCATAATATGGGCCCTTTAAGATAAAAAATTAAATTAATCCCACCCATGACTTTTGAATAAAACATGGGTAAACTCAGAACATTACAGTACTCATAGTGAAAAGAGTCAAATATTTTACTTAAATAGGAATAAACGTGTGTCTGACACTTACTCAAAGACAGTTGTATTAAAAAGTTGCTCAAGTAGGCCTAAATGTACTCATAACTGTACTTCCCACGTCTGTCCAAGGACCATCATCTTTTTACTCAATTTTCAAACTGCCACACCATTAGACCCTTGCTTATTTGTTTTATAATTCAAATGCATTTCTGATTTCTCAATCGCTAGCAGAACATGAATCCAGATGGAGATAATCGGCGTGTTTATCTGCATATCTGCTGAGGCCTGCAAAGCCTTCAAAAGTGCTGCCAATTAACTCCGACTTCTCCTTAAGCTCCTCTCCTCCCTCCTCGGGCGACTCCTCTCCTCCCTCCTGGTTGTCTCCTGATCCCCCTATCTAACTCTGGGCTTTTGTATCTCCACACTCCTCTCTCCATATGTCTGATTGGGCTCTCTGTACTCTGCTGCCTCGACAACTCTTCCGAGCATCTCTCTGCGTCGCTGTGGTGATTGGTTACGCTGCCTGTGCTTTGTGCAGGTATCGTGAGGGCCTTTTTCATTCCAAGCGATGGACTCTAAAGCGGAACATTGGCTATTTTACTGATTAAAGCATTGGATGGCGAGAGGAGGTTTATAGATGACAAGCACATCGTTCCATAGCCTATATATAGTCAGCCCACCCAGAACATATGTAGCTATAAGGCATATTTCCTGCACATTCCACGACTGGCTTTTTACAGGATGTTGCATCACCATTCACTGTTGTCTTCTCTCTACCTGACTTATTTGCATTATTTTCTAGGATAATTTTCTTACTTATTTATTTTTTTCCTGTTTGCCCCTTTCTCTTCTGTTGACATACACACATGGTAAGGTCAGAACTGACTCTCCTCCAGGTATTTGATCGCCCAACTGTGCCACTATCACCACATGAAAAGTACCTTGAATAAGGAAATGCAAAATATTACATCTAAAATGACACATTAATGCTGAATCAGGTACCACATGCGGTACCACTTGCTTGTCTCCTTAGAGATTTGCTTGGAATGTTGCTTTAATTGTCCAAAAGTCTCTTGATAAATGTGAATTCTTACTGTGGGTCTCCACTCCACAGATCTGACTTGTAATAATGCCCCACACTTAATAATGCACTACAGGCTTGTCAAAGCACTGTACTCATTATTATTTCACTCCATACTCTGAGGTGGTTTACTACTTCTGTAGTTACAGTTGCCCTGTGGCAGACTGATGGAAGCGAGACTGCCATTGGCTCATCAGTCAGTGTCAGGATGCAAAGGCAGAATTTGGTATGAGTAGGAATTGATCCTTGACCTTCACGTTGGGAGACCGCTGCTCTAACCCCTGAGTCACAGTTGCCCCTGCTCATCTACTTGGAGTTTGATCACTTTAAACCGATAACATCTGTGAGAGGAGTAGGTGGACAACCCTCTGTCATAATGTTACACAGTGCACCTTTATCTCACCAGTGGGGTCCATCACACACCATGTGTGAAACTCTGGCTGTCTTATTCTTGTAAATGATGTCTAAATTGACACATTTTAAACATAGAAGCATTCATATGAGTTATTGGATAAACAGTAACGGTTGTCACTCAGAGGAACACAGCCTCAAACACATTTGAGATCTGTTCCGCTGTTTGACAGGCACGTAATTGGACCTGTCTAAACAAAATAGTCATTCATAAAAATAACTAGTAAATACCCAGGGACAATGTGATTACAGTTTAATATAAGATAAATGGCCTAAATGTATTCTCATGACGTGAAGGTTCATGGATTGGCTGCTTTGAAAGATGATATTTTTTCACAGTCCTGGATTAGTGTTTCTTTAGACCTGGTTAGTCCTGGTTTAGTCCAGACTTCCTCTGCTTAAAGAGCCTGTAGCTGATTTTTTCCCCCCATATATTTGAGCTTTTTTTTTTCCTTGCCTTAGTTCGGATAGTCCTATACTGTCCAAGAAGCTCTTGAGATCAAAATAAGAATCAGGAAGTGTACAGTTACCTCACTAGTTGTTGTAAGCTTTACCGTAGATGCAAAACCCTCTCTGGTCTCTGAAGTTTGTGAAAAGCACTTATAAACTCATCATGGTGAATAAATAGGATGCTCCGAACTCATAAGGTAAATGAGGAACAACTTTGGACCACTGCAAATGAGCTCGATCTTGTTTTTAGTCTTTTCATATTTTTAAGACAGTAAAAGTCAGGTAGGCGTCATATTGGTGAGGTGGTATTCAGTGTAAAAAGTCTCTGTAGGCACTGGAGCAGATAGAGTATTATTTGACAGGCTATTAAACTCCTAATAATAAAACCTGGATGCGTTTGGCCGTGAGACAGATGGTGGAACACAGTGACGGCTGTTTAGGAAGCTGTTGCCTGGAATAGCGTGCTCGGTTCATGTGAAATCCACTATGCTTGTTTTTAGATAAGTCATTTGGAGCATTTCGTTGCCTAGATACCAAACAGTTGTTGGTTCGATCCTAGCTCTAGTACTGTTATCGTGTTCTTGGGCAACACTTGAATCTTAGTTTTGCTGCTGCAGTGGAAATTGTGGAGAAGGACAATTGTGACAGGGAGCTGAATCTTAAGACATAAACGAGAGAGAGAGTGTATTAGTATGAATGGTAGAGAGCAATGGACAAATTGGGTTGTGCCAGTTTTCATGTGGCTCAGTAATTACGAAGATAAGACATCTGCATTTTCTTACTGCAGGGTTTCAAATGACATGACGATATTATTCTATAGCCCAATTATATTTAATACAGATGGAGGCAGCTAAAGTGAATGTTGTTAAATGCAGTTTTTTGTTTTAAAATAGATGAATAGACAGATACTTTATTGATCCTGAAGGAAATTTAAGTCCAGCAGCAGCAATATGGAATATATAGAAATAGAAACACACATAGTAACATGGAAAAGATATTTAAAGGTGCATTGTGTAACTTTTACCCACAAATACAAATGCCAGAACACAAATACAAAGGCCACAACACAAATACAAATGCCTTAACACAAATACAAACAGCACAACACAAATGCAAACGCCATAACACAAATGCAAATGCCACAACACACCAAAAAGCCACAACAAACCAAAAAAAGCCTCACGGAAGTGACCGCGAGACTCTATTTTCTGACAGACCATGCGAAATGTTAAAAGATCAAGCGGGAAGCGAATGGGAAAAGTTAAAGGAGAACAAGAATGTGAAACATAAAGGAACGGAGAAGTGAACAGTCTGACCGACACTTGGTCTGTCGGAAACAAGAGTCCAAGTGGTCACTACCGTTGTGGCTTTTTTTGGTTTGTTGTGGCTTTATGTTGTGTTGTGGCATTTGTATTTTTTGCTTCGTTTGCTTTTGTTATGAGCCCTC